AATCTGAGAGAAGGGTAAACAGGCGAGACAGGCAGTACTCTTAACCCATTCACACCGGGTGTCACGTATATGTGACATGCCCACTTGTTTAATTGTTTTTATACATAGCTACACTATATATATATATATATATATATATATATATATATATATATATATATATATATATATATATATATATTTATATGCATATGTATGTAAATACCTATAAATGTGTATATGTATATATATATATATATATATGTATATATATATATATGTATATATATATATATATATATATATATATATATATATATATATATAAATATATATATATATATATATATATATATATATATATATATATATATATATATATACCTATAAATGTGTATGTGTATATATATACCTATAAATGATAAGCTATTATAAGCATTATAAGCTATCAACAGAGCTATAATGGTGTTTTTTAGGCAAAAACAATTGTGGAAGTGTGGCCCTTGGGGGTGGGAGGAAATCCAAGACTTTGAGGGAGGCAATCAGAGTCTTGAGGGGCAATTGGCCCCCAGGCCCCCAAATGATGCCCATGATATGTATACACACACACACACACACACACACACACACACACTACTATATATATATATATATATATATATATATATATATATATATATATATATTGTTATATATAGTGAAATAGTATTTTTCATATTGCCATCTTTATTGTAATGTAAGGTATTTGAATTTTAAAAGTCTTTTTTTATGATAGTTTTTGTATTTATCTGGAGTAATGTTATTAATGCAGTCTGTTATCCTTGTTCTATTTTTATTTCTCAGGAAATGTGAGAATGAGTCTCCTCGCCGACTGGATGCCTCTAGCCCCACTCACGGGCAGGGAAATATTTAGCAAAGGAGTCAGTGTGAAAGAAGAGCTTAACTATGGTGTCACTGAAGAGACATGTATAGAAATAAAGGAGGAACCACTTGATTATGTAGATAAGAAGAGTGATAATGTGAGTGACACAAAAGTAAAAAATGAATGCTTTTTCATTCATAATCTTCATGATCTAAGAAATGAAGCAAATGCAAAAGACTTGTGTAACTTGATTCAGGATCGTAATGGTATGTCAAGAGCACCATTTGTAACTGAGAACTATGGGAAGAAGTGTCCATCAGATAGGGATCGGACTATGCAAAAGGAAAGTCTGAAGGAGGACACACAAAAAGTGAAAGCCACATTGAATCGTTTTGCCTGTGAGGTGTGTGGCAAGAAATTTTCAGGAAAGAGCCATATAAACATTCACATGAGAGTCCACACTCAGGAGAAGCCATATAGCTGTGATATTTGCAATAAGGCCTTCCCATCAAAAAGTGATCTAGTAAAGCATATCAGAGTACATACAAAGGAGAAGCCATACAGGTGTGAGATTTGCAGCAAGGATTTCTCATATAGCACAAGTCTAGTCAATCACATGAGAGTACACACACAGGAGAAGCCATACAGCTGTGAGATTTGTAATAAGGCCTTTTCACATAAAACTAATATTGTGAGCCATATGAAAGTGCATACAAAAGAGAAACCATACACGTGTGATATTTGCAATAAGGCCTTCCCCTCCAAGAGTGATTTGGTAAAGCATATCAGAGTACATACAAAGGAGAAGCCATACACGTGTGATATTTGTAGCAAGGATTTCCCATATAGCACTAGTCTAAGGATCCATATGAGAGTACATACAAAGGAGAAACCATACAGCTGTGAGATTTGCAGTAAGGCCTTTTCACATAAAACTAATCTAGTGAGCCACATGAGAGTACATACAAAGGAGAAGCCATACAGTTGTGAGATTTGTAACAAGGCCTTCTCACATAAACATAGTCTAGTGAACCATATAAGAGTACATACAAAGGAGAAGCCATACAGCTGTGAGATTTGCAATAAGGCCTTTTCACAAGAAATTTGTCTAGTGATCCATATGAGAGTACATACACAGGAGAAACCATACAGCTGTGAGATTTGCAATAAGGCCTTTTTACAGAAATCAAATTTGGTGAGGCACATTAGAGTACATACGAAGGAGAAGCCATACAGTTGCGAGATTTGCAATAAGGCCTTCTCTGAGAAAAGCAGTCTAGTAAGGCACATGAAAGTACATACAAAGGAGAAGCCGTACATTTGTGAGATTTGCAATAAGGCCTTTTTAAAGAAATCAAATCTGGTGAGGCACATGAGAATGCATACATAAGAGCCATACAGCTGTGAGATTTGCATCATTACCTAGTGCAGCACATGAGAATACATAGAAAAGAGAAGCCAAATATCTGTGAGCTTTGCAATAACAAGTTTATTAAGCCTTATGAGAGTACATACAAAGAAAAATTCATACAGATAAGAAATTTGCAAAATAACATCCTCATGGAATAATCACCTGGTGCAACATGTGGGAGAAGCCACATCTCTGTGAAGTTTGAAACAAAGGTTTGTCCCAGAGGGAGAACTTTGTGCTATATATGAGAGTAAGGTTTTTCTAATGAGTGTAATAGAGTGAGACATATATGAGTACATACAAGTAGAAACCATATAGAAATTATGAAAACAATGTTTAGTATACATTAAGGTCACAGGACTTATATCAATGAGGTCTCTAGATATGCTTTCACCCAGAGAAGACGCCATGTTGTTAACACAAGATTACTTCAAACTACATGTCATTTCATCTAAAAGTAACTCTTCCTCTTGACATTATTTATTTTGTATGTAATATTCTTATGCGTAGTTCTTGTCAAGTATAATAAACTTTTATGCATTATGACCTGTATTTATGTCTCCATAGAAATTTTGTTCAAGTAAACTCATGTCTGCTGTCACTGCAGTCAAAAGACATGCTATTAGTCATAGCATTCGAGGAAGCTGCTCCTTCACTCCTTAATATGGCAACTGATGTGGAAGTTGTTGGCCTCTTTGAAAGGAGTGTTTTAGTTTAGTTTCTAGCATAACTCTGTTATTTTAATTAGAATAGAAAACTTTATTACATGTAAAAATAATCTATGAAATATTTAATAGTAACAACTAAATGAAAAAGGACCCACAGATAGAATTTTGATATTTATTAGTTGATAATTTTCTGCCACATCAACATCTAAGGTCATTAGCGGTGTATTCGAAATGTACTGATAGTCTGAAGCTCAAGTCTACATTTATATATATATATATATATATATATATATATATATATATATATATATATATATATATATATAATATAATATATATATATAATATAATATATATATATATAATATAATATATATATATATAATATAATATATATATATATACATATATATATGTGTGTGTGTGTGTGTACATATGTATATTATACACCATTCCTCTCTATAGGACTTATACAAAATGTATGGTCGTGGCAAAAAAGAGGTTGCAGCCAAAAACTATGTCAGTGTGGTGGATGTTAAACAAACCACCCTAGTCTTGGATCGTCAAGAACCGATGTTCGGCGCCCGAAGAAGCACAGGAACTCATATCCCGTGGGATCACAATTTCAACACATCCGTTCCCACTTATAATATAGAGCCGAGTGTTTTCTTCAAGTTGATTAGTGATTGAAGTGCAAAAAGTACAGACATACATGCACGTACAAAGATGCAGTCGATGTGGCGAAGCTGGGGATTCCTTCGCCACATGCAATGAAACCACCAAATGTTGCAGTTATGAGAGGCAGCACGATACCGTCAGCGGGATTTGCCCCAAACGCAAAGAAATTATCAAAACTAAAAGACATTAATTAAGATAAAACGACAACATACGTCACAACAGCCAGACCCTTACAAACACCCACATCCACTTCAAGGCGACCCAACACTATTCCCTCAGGAAATACCATACCTCCTCCATTTCACTTCCCTCAAAACAGCACCCGCACACCAGATAACAACACGTACTTCTAATACCTGCTAAATATAATGATAAGAAATTCACATACATCGTCCTTATCATGCAATGAAAGAAAACGAAGATGAAGACATGTACATAGCTGATTATCGCTTACAAACTAACACAAACACCGAGGCTAGAGTGGCGAACACCACAACCCTCTACCTCATACGCACAAGTACTCCCACAACCACAACCACCATGCAAATCAAAAAGAAGCCGCACAAGAAAAAAATACAACAAACACGAACGAACATAATACAAACTCCAATCACCATTAAACACGCTCCTCGTCGTTGACATAACGACATTATCCTTGACAGCAAGTAAAGCCTCTGCATAAACCTCATTCCTGAGGAAAACGTGGGGGCGGCCTATTACCCCCCGGGAATGCAGATCCCGTCCTCCCCGTCAGTGGATCTCGAGAGAGACACGGAAGCGTCGGGAATTGGTCCGCCTAGAATTCTACGTCTCCCTCTCCCAGGAGTACCTTCCGGATCCCGAAGAGGCCCAGCTTGGGGCTCGGCCTCGTCCTCGACCTCGATTCCGAGAGAAGCAAACGTTAACTTGACCTACTCTGAGTGACATACTGAGAATTGTACAGGCAAATATAAGATCGTTTTATAACTTAAGAAATTTGTTACGACTTCCTAGACAGGGTAAATCCTGAAGTTGTTCGTCCAAATTCCACATGCATAATTCCAATGTTATTAAACACTTCGGCTACACGTCAAGACAATACACACACACACACACACACACACACACACACACACATATATATATATATATATATATATATATATATATATATATATATATATATATACTCCCTCATCCTCCGACCTGACCTGACCCCTCCTCGCTTCCGTTTGTCTGCCCTCACCTGCCCCGTGTTATCGTGTTGCCTCTCCTATCTCTCTTTTATACCCCCTCCTCTCCCTTTCCTCTTCAGACCTAACTCGAGATCTTGCATTACACAAAAAAACGAAGAGAAAGACGGACAGCGATGGATAAAATAAGAAGAGATAAGAGATGTGTGTAGTGTAAACCTTGACAGAAAAAAGACAGACAGAGAAAAGGAAAAAACGGGACAGTGTCAACTGAGAAAACAACAAAAGAAAATTAGAATTGTGTGTGAAAATGGTTGCGTTGACAATAGCGCAAGGCCAGTTTGAGACAGATTTTAGAGATAATTTATTTCAAAAGTATCAGCATATATATACATATATACATGCAGCGTGAAGGCCGAGTCGAAACTGTAACAAGATAGAGGTGGTTCTGTAAGTCTAGTGTATTTGTTTGTGTTTGTTATGAGTACTCTGTGTCAACTAACTGTTCTCATGAGATTAGTGGGTGATGCCGATGTCAAAATGTAAAGAATGTGATAACAATAGAAGTTAAATAATGATGATGGCGATGGCAGGACTTGATAACAATTGTGATTATAATGATAGTGATGATAATAAACATGGGCCTGCCTGTGAAATGTTATGATAAATACCTTTCTGACAAGATTTTAAGGAGACGTCATATTTTTTTTAAGACAACGGTGTACTGTTGGTAGTCCTCACTCCCTCTCTATCTCTATCTATCTATCTATCTATCTCTGTAGATGTGTGTGTGCAAAGTAAATGATTAAAATAAGTTAATAAAAAACATACGCGGAGACTTTACCAGAATGTAATGAAGATGGTATATTGTCATTAACTGCTCCTATTCAGGAATGTATAGACCAATGATTAAAGGGACTGCTATTTAATTGAGGCTTTATTCACCAGAATAATTTGATGAGATGGCTTAGCAACGGCAGCAAGGCACGTGTGCTTCAGAGAGGCATAATGTCACGGGAGATTATTTTCACAAGACAATATATTATATCAGCGTCTCATCACATTCATTAGTAATGACGTAATCCTGCTGAAGAATATCAATATCGGGCAATTGATTATATGTATTGTCTTTTTTTGCCTATTTCAACATCCTTCTTTGTTTTCATTATTTACTATCATTCGCTTCGTCTGCTTTTATCTTTTCTTGCTTTTATTTCTCCTTGTTCTTTCTACTTTGTCTATCTTTTCAATTTATCACTTTCATTCGTATATATTTTTGCAACCCTCCATGCCAACTAGAAAGGTAAAGTTCGTCCATCTGAAAAAATAAATTTCAAAAATCTATTTTTTTCAGTCTCTCTTTGCATCCATCAACGCTCTATTTTCTGTTTTGTTTTGTTTTTATTTTCCTCTTCTTTATATCCCTTTTCTTATCCTCATTACCATTATTGTTATTATTGATATCATTTTTATCACTATTATTATCATTATTGTCATCATTCTTATTCATTATCATTATTATCATCATTCTTATCATAATCATTATCACTATTGTTATTTTGTTATCATCAGCACCATTATCATCATCAAAATTATTATCATCACTATCATGTTTCTGTTACTACTACTACTTCATCTTCTTCATCTCCTCCTATATTTCTTCTCCTTCTCCTTGTCATTCCACTCATCGAATGATGTAAAAGCTGATATCAATAACCTCTCTCCATTTCTCCATAAGGTCATTTTTTCACTACAGTATTATTTTCACAATGTAACATTTCTAAGAAAAAAATCCCTGTGCGGAAAGGCAAGGAATGTATAACCTGGACATGCACGCTAATTAACTCGCTGGGAGGATTCCGAACCCCAGCCATGTAATTGAAATCAAAACTTAAGCTATTGCACAGGAAACTAATTCAGGGCCTAGGAGAGAATAGCCTAAACCCAGTACAACCCTTCATACGGTCTATGTCGAGGGAAGCTGCGCGAGTTTTAACCAAGAGCTGTGCGGAGCCCACCGTCTAGGGGAAGAGGAACCGAGACATCCCTCTGGAGGAACATGCTAGGAGCAGCAAGGTATACTGGTCGTCAGCCACTTCCTATGTCTTGTTTATCCTCAAGTAAAGTGTCACGATCTCTTTTGTGTATTGATACTCAATCATATATATATATATATATATATATATATATATATATATATATATATATATATATATATGTATATATATATATATATATATACATATATATATATATATATATATATATATATATATATATATATATATATATATATATGTGTGTGTGTGTGTGTGTGTGTGTGTGTGTGTGTGTGTGTATGTATATATATATATATATATATATATATATATATATATATATATATATATATATATATATATATGACTACCGCGATAGTCCCATATTAGAGCACTGGGCTGCGACCCGATTGGTCCTGAGTTCAATTCCCCGTCGTAACGACAGTCGTAAAAATGCCTGCGCCCCGACTTCTGGCTCGAGTCCGATCTCAAAGCGAGAAAACGACATATCGCCTTAAGAAGTCAAACGCAGGTGTCGCAGGGGAAATCACCGCCGTGGCAAAAGTGTTAGCGCGCCGAACCGCAGTTGATTAGGAAGGGCACCCAATCAGTATGTGTGTGTGTGTGTGTGTGTGTGTGTGCATACATACACACACACACGCACACACACACACACACACACACACACACA